AGCAGGAATCTCTGTTCTACAGGAGAATGACAAGCAGTTATAAACTTATGAAGGGTTGGTCCTGGTTGCTCTTGCTTCATGGGGTCAGGGATAGGGCACCAGCCGCAGCAGGCAAGCTCCCAGACACCTACTGTGTCACCATCCTGTGGATGTTTTAGAAGATTTCCACTTGCATACGCTAGTGAAATGAGGCTAAATTTGAGAGTGGTTTCTCCCTTCCTACTTAAGAAATTAAAAAATGATACTAACAGCTTGGACTAAATTAAATAGACTATGTCCTTTAGATTGGTACCTCTCTTTTTCACTCCCTCCTACCAAGCACTCGTATGGCATTTACCTTAACTTGACCTGTATCATTCACACAGAACTTAATTTGGCCATGTATTATAGCGACCGTATGCATTGTTCCCTTCAGAAAATAGTAAATTCCTTCAGTGCATATATTTGTCCGCCTACGCTTAGTACTCCCCCCTGTGATTTGGGAACAGCATCTCCCAAATGGAAGGAACTGGTTCTCTTCCCACTCTAACCATGTGGTTCTTTAGGCTCTACCATCATTTTCTTTGAGCCCAAGTCCAGATCATGGTTGATTGGCCCTTGATGGACTTGCCAATTAGAGTCCTTTCTTGGAATTTTTATTTTAAATTGGAGCTAGGGAAAAAAAAAAGTCAGTCTCTTTTTGGTGTTAAAAGTTATGACATGTGACTCTCAGGAACTGCTGGAGGCTGTTTCTCATAGCGGGAAGGCAGCCAGGCCACGGTGGGAGAGGGAGCCTCACACAGTTTAGGGCTGGAAAGATGGAATCCTGGGGGCACCTGAGTCTCAGTTTCTAGTAGCTCCCACTGTCCAGCTGCACCAATGCCCTTTCTGCACTTTGCTCAGGTTTGTCTTTTTAATCTCATTAACAAGATTCTATTCTGAAAAGAATTTAAAATATGGTAGTAAACTTTTCTTTTCTCACTTCTTTGTGACCTTGGCCCTATACAGCCAGAATTATCTATTGCCTTACTCAGGCTGGGATGCTGACAGGCAAAGAGAGAGAGTCAATATTCAGCATTTGACTTCCAAAACAAGCTCCTGAAGCTTTCAGAAACAACTAATGTGAATGCCTAAGCTTTTTTTCATTTCTTTTTTTTTAGAGCAAATTTTTTTCTTTAGGAGGAAAAAATGTCTTTAGAAATCAAAAAGCAAAGATCTGAAGAAGTATCAGGATGGAAAAAAAAAAAGAAAGAAACTTGTCCATAAAAATAGACTTAAGAGAGAATAGATAAAAATTTGGTTATTTAATATATCTGTGTCTTAGCTTCCCAAATAGGGATAGTGATAAGAATGATCACAAATTGTTTTTTGTTGGGATTAAATGAGACAAAGTATTTAAAATGCTCAGAAGAGTGCCTGCCACACAAAAAAGCCACTCATTAGAGCTTTGTTATTAAGAGTGTTGTAGCTGTTATTGTTGCTACCTTATTCTGAGCAAAGAGATAGGGATTGCTCTTGCTGAGAAGATGGCAACAGTGTAAAGGAGGGATGTAGTGAGGCCTCCACAGGCGGGAAGGACCCTGTAGGGTGGAGCAAAGTCAGCACTGAGAGACTGGCAGACTCTGTCCAACAAAGCATCTGGTGACAGGGCCTGCTCATCTCACTGGAGTTGAGTTCAAACGATGTCTCTCTCTCTCTGTCTTTAGATTCTATTTTTCAATAATTGGCTTCAGGTGGACTGTCTCAATGTGGCAGCAAAGATGGCCCCCTATAGCCCTTGTGTGACGTGGTGCTCACAGTGTTTTTAAAAAATCAGGTACCTTTATAGTCATTGCTCCAGAAAAAGTCCTGTGCAGAACTCATTCCATACTTAATAGGAAATTATGTTGGATGTCATAGAAGGCTTTTCTTCTTAGTGATCTAAGGTGAAGACCTAGAGTCAGTCAGTTTGAGAAGCAATAACATACTGAATGGGGAAGCAATTTAAATACAATAGTTCATTTAATTCTCACAGTATCCCTACGATGTGTGGACTATTATCCCTACTTGCGGATGAAGAAACTGAGATTCAAGGACGCTGAATCCCTTGTTCAAACCTCATTTATTTAGGAATAGGCAAAATGAGTATTCAGATTCATATACATTGGACCCTACAGCCCGTATTTTCTTCTGTACTCATGTTTCAGTAATTAATTAATGGGAAGAGGTAAGTGGCTTTTATTATAAGAAATGTTTTCATTCTTCCATTCCCCCTTTTAAAAAATTATGATTTATCTCATTCTTGGTGGCTGTAATTACTTAAAGGGAGGACAAACATGCTAAACATTTAAGATGTGTTTACATGATGCACGTGAAAAAGTAAACACAGTGATACTGGTGATTGATTTTTTCCTCACTCTTCTGGTCAGTATTCATTGTATAGATAGGAGAAAATCTTTGCCAAGGGCCCACAGACTATCTTCTTTCAGATGCAAAATAAACCCAGAAACAAGTGGAAGTGGAAATACACTTTTGATTATTAACAAAATAGCTAGTTAAATGCTTTAAAAACGGATTGTCATGTATCAAAGACTTTAATCACAAAAGAATAATTCACATGACTTTTTGAAAGAAAATATGGGAAATACTTTATACTAAGCTATTTCTAAAATTACTTTTCTAACTTGCTTCAACACTCAGTACTTCTAAAACTGATTAGACAATTTAGTTTGTTTGGAGAAATGTCATGAAAATAGATCCTTTTGAAGAAGAAACACAGGGCTTCATATTTCAAATGCTTTATCTTGTGAAAATCAGATTCAAAGCCTTCTAGCATGCAAAGCCCAGAGTCATAGGCACCAAATGGCAAAACTCTTTTAGTTACAGGAAGACCTGACCCAAACTTACTTTGCCTAACTGAAAAGTCTAACAGTACACAGCTGGATGTAGGACTTGGTCTCAGGCTTCATGTGAGGGCAAGATGGCCAAAGCTGCCATAAGCCCTTATTCTTTCCAGTTTCAGGATATAACTGCTTCTTCAATAGCCCAAACAACATTTTCTGAATTGAACCTCAAAGGCTTTGATGGCCTTGACCAAATCCCCAAATCAGTCACCGTTACATCTCTGAAGCCAGTGTCAGCTTCAGGAGGATGCTATGGACCAAAAGTGATAATGATGGCAGTGGTCAGGCTCCCCCAAAGGAAACTGGGTCAGGCTACCAGAAGGAGTATAAATGTATCTTGGTTGGCAGGAATATTCGTTGTCTACCATAGGCACTGTGAAAATACCAGTAGACAGACTAATTATGGAGCCTTATACTCCATGTCGTCTTGGGGATTACTGTAGAAAACTGGCTAGAAGGCCTAATGGGATGTGCTGATGGTCTATAATTTTCCTGAGGTTAACTGACCACAGATGAAACCACTCTGGCCCATGGAGTCTTCCTTTGGTCACTGGTAAGTCTCTGCGGAATTTCTATACAGCAGTAATTATATATGGATCCAGATAATAGTGAGAAGGTACACATTTAGAGAAAGCAAGTAGTTCTATGAAGAAATGTGAATGGGGAATGATAGTCACTGTGGACTCCACCTGGAGTGTAGGGGCAGGTGCAAAGATTTTTGTTTTCAAAGACCCAAAACCTCTGCGGGAAAAGATAAACATCTGTCAACAGGGGACCAGGAATCATTTGCCTTTGTCTTAAGGCTTTTTTCTCCACCCATCAGCAACCTTGGTTGGTTTTGTTTGATAAAACTATAATGCATATCTCTTTCATTGAACTCAAGTAGATATAAAAAACTCCACAAGAAATACCCAATGAAATCCTTAATTCAGTAATACAACTACACCTCAGTGCCGCCCAGTGACTTGCTTGGTATTTAGAAAATACTGATAAAGAAAAGTAGGCAATGGATACTGGCCCCACTTTGCAGAGGAAGAAATTAAAGCAATACCAAATCACCCAATTAATTAAGATCCCTTATATTGTGCTAGCATTGAAGATAATGCCAGGTTATCAGATATTATTTTAAGTAAATATCACCCATGAAATTAGAAGTCTTAAATAGGATGGAGTGATAAAATAACACACCCAGTTGGTAGGTGTTTTCCATCTGAACTGTGAGGTGAGAAGCATCTTCATGCTGGCTAGGTTCATCCATATAAGACACTGTACTCAGAGAGCTAAAAGTAAGGAGAAAACATATTTCAACAGTTACTATAACAATAATAGCAAAACACCATGTTGCTCTTAGTAAAAATGTGACAGAAGTTTTATGTTTTCTCTAAAAATATTTCAAGCAAGTCCCCTGTAAATATCCTGGTAATACATTTAAAGTCTAAAACATTTTAGAGATGGAAATATTACCAGTGTAGAGAAGTCACTTGGAGCAGGTCTCAATATAGTGTTTGAAGCCCAGTGCAGTGCGTGGGGCATTTGATTATCACGAAAGTATTCATGGGTTGTTCCATCTGTGGGCTAACGGAGTATGTACAGTCAGCCCTTCACATCCAGGGATTCACCCAATCACGTATTTCAGTTGGTTAAATCCGTGGATGCGGAACCCATAGATATGGAGGGCCAACTGTACTGCGCCATTTTATATAAGGGACTTGAGCATCCACTGCTTTTGGTATCCATGGGAGGCTCCCGGAACCAATGCTCAGCAGATACCGAGAGCCGACTGCACACGTTTCAAAAGCTATTGTCAATTGCATCTCTACTGCAGGTGCAAAAGTCTCTCCTCAAAGTGGACAGAACTCACAAAAGGGACTGGGGATTATGTGAGGAAGCTTAAAATGTTGGGCAACAATCTCTTTACATACATGGGGGATTATAAGGAGTTTACTATTAAATGTACCTCACAAAATCCCTTTAGTAGAAAAAAGAAAAACGAGAAACTCATCTACATGATGAGAGAAACTGCAATTCACCCAAACTATAGTAATCAATAAGCATCAATCACCCTTTTCAACATTAAGATAGGGTTTGGGCTTGGTTACCAAGGCAATATAAGCTTATCCAGGTGCTAAACAGGAGACCCAAATGAAGAGTAACCCCTAAAGTCCCTCCAGCACTACTTAATCAGAGAAAATTCAACTGTCACTAATGGCAGTCTCAGATCTCTACCCCAGTTCTCTCCACCTGTGAAACGGAGGTTAAGACAGATATCATTTCAAAGGAGATGATATAACAGTGTGTGTGTGTGTGTGTGTGTGTGTGTGTGTGTGTGTGTGTGTGTTTTCAGAGTGATTACTTTTATAAGCAGGTTAAGTTTTTGCTTTAATTAAATGAGAATGAGATATTTGTTCTTAATCTTTGGGGACTTTCTTTTCTCTCTGCAAGGAGTTTTAAATACTTAGTTCTGAGCTGTTGGGAGTTAGTGAGCTTCCTGCAAATTGCTATTTTAAGAAAATCATGGATATTATATTTTAAAAATCATTTAACACAATTTAAACAATAAATTAAGGTTTACCGACCCAGCCCAAGAAAGTGATGTAAGACATTACGGCTGCTTTTCCACATTGGATTTCTGGATTAGTGAGTTAGTCTCCATTCTTATAACACCTGCTTTCCTCAATTTTCTGCTGCCCTTTGAAGTAGCAACCAACCTATTTAGCCACGTTGGCTGCAGGTGTTGTGAGCAGCGCCAAAGATGGTAGCTTCTGCTTAGAAAAACCAATGTTGCATAAGCCCCTTGATTTTAAGATAAGCCAGCCTGCCCCAATATTGTATATACTACTTTTTTTCTGCAAAATATTTTCCATCAATTGTCTCATTTTATCTTTAAAATATCCCCTTTAAGGAAGTAAAAGAGTCACTATTCTGCCCATTTCAGCGATAAAGGGAACTGGCAAAGTGCCTAACTGCATACACATACGAAAGGCAGACTTAGATTTCAAATACTCTATTTACCTCTGTCACAAAGTTTCATATATGATCATATCTGATAGAATGGAAATAGGGGCAATGACTACCTGAAATAATTAATTGCTGCAACTGAAAGTTACTTGCACAAACATAAGAAGATGTTAATAAAACCCTATTTCTTTTCTACTAAACGCCATATTAAAAACTCATAAAAGGAGTAGAGTTTCTATAAAACTCAAATTAGCAGAGTTAGAAGTCTAACACAAAAAAGCAAGTAATGAATTTTTTGCTTTGCATACTATTGCTTTGTTATTGCCATGTTACTAAAAAAGTGATATCCAGTGCAGTTTGTAATATTACCAGTATGATATTGGTAACTTTCATAAGGGCAGCTTCAAAACCCCATTGCCTGAAGATTGATGTGCAAATAGAAAGTTTTTTAGAGTGACTGTTTTTGAAATACTGAAGGTGATTTCGTACAGTGCCTTTTTATTTCTACAGCAATCTGTAAACAGTGTATGCTCATTGTAAAAATTTCAAAGTGTACAGGAAAGTATAAAGTACAAAATAAAGTTACACAAAAAATTACTAACCTCAGTGATTATCTAACCACTCTTAATATTAAAAAAACTTTTCAGACATGATTTTACATATGGGATCTATTATAGATACTTTTTTTTTTACTCAGAGATATATAGCAGATAACTATGTCAATAAATAGTAATCTGCATCCATGTTTTAAATATCAAGGCAGTATTTAATTTATGAACATACTGCATTTTATTTAAACAGGCCATTTAGGTTGTTTTCAATATTCCATCATTATAAAGAAAACTATAATGACCATTGTGGCAGGGACTCATTTGCTTTCCAATGTTGTTCTCTTCTTCCTTGGTAGCAGAACCAGAAGTTTGTGGGAATATTTCTCTCCAAATTGAAGACAAATGCTTGGACTCTTTAGTGCTACTGGGGCCATGTGGCTTATGAGCCAAAAAGATGTAAGTGGAAGTTACGGGTGAAAATTGTGAGAGAATTAATTCAACCAACTAAGTCAACCAGCAGGGGCCTGTTCATGACTGGACCGTGGATATGATGGCAAGAGCTTGGCAGCTATCTTGGATCTTGAGATGACCTTATGGATTGTAGATCAGAAGCTAGAAGACTGGTCCTTCTAGACTTCTTTTATGTAAGAGAAAATATATTTCTATTTAAGCCACTGTTTTTATTTTTTATAAAAAGATTTTTATAAGAAGCATTAGATATAACTGATACAAATTTTAACTGATACAGAGTTTGGAAGTGGGATGCTGCAAGTAATAGAGCACAAAACTTGGGGTTAATTTTGTGGAAGAGACAGGGCTTTGGGCAGTGAGATTTCAGAGATTTCAGATATATTAACCTGGCTTCCCTTATCATGCAGAAGGAAAATATTTGGTTAGTCTATTGATTTCTGTACATTGGAAATCTGACCATGTATCAACCAAGACTATAATTTCATGTAAGTTACAGAAAAATTTTACTTTTTTAAAAGCCCTATTTATGGTATTTTTTGAAACTGATATCTGATAGTTCCTATATTAGAATGAGATGCCTCAGAAGAAGGGAGAGAGAAAAGAGAATAAGTTGAACAGAAAAAAATACAATGTATATTGCATGAAAAAAGACAAAAAGAAGACATAAAATATTAAAAATGCTTGCAATTATCAACGTCAGTTCAGAATACTGACTTAGAAAAACATGTACACATTTTCTATTGATAAACAGCTTTATTCAAGCCCTTTGAAATTTTTAAAGATAAAAATGTGAGATGATTCAAAGAGCAAATTTATAATTTTAATTACCAGTGCTGTATTCACAGCACAACAAATTTATTGGGTATATTTCACATTACATGTGGATGAGTTTCTGTTGCCTATGACCAGGCCTTCCCTAGTTTATAATAATAATCCTTCTTAGATACATGATCTCACTGCGAATGGAATGCTGTAGTTGATTTTTTTAAATGTGAAAAATGTTCTTGCTGTCTATGTGTTTCATCAGCTTGTTGGCATTTATGGAAGAAAAGGATTTCAACTGGCAAAATGTACCCAAAGGAGTTGTAAAGTTTTAGGCAGGAAGGTAGATTAAAAGTGAAAGCAGGAAAACTGAAAGTCTGGTGTAAACTGCTGGTGAAAACAGTGAACAAATGAACTAATATTATTCTAGAGAGAAGAGTAACAATTTGTAACCAATATAAATTTCCATTAATACTTGGAGTCACATGTACCATTGCTCAGGACAGACTTGGAATTAGCCTGGTTGTGGAAATAGCTGCATGAAATTGGTATATAATAACAAAAGTAACTCTCTTACATTGTGTCCCATGCTAACCCAACAGCCTGTGTTATGATTATGCAGAAAAGAGCCAAAAAAGTTAGCTAGGGAGTTGAAATATGTTTATTTTTCATGAAATTCAGTTTTCCTGAAAATATCTTACAAATTTGCATGCTGACCATTCCTTGAATTACACAGAATAAGTACAAGGCATGTCTTATTGTCATGATGGTTGGAGATAGAAACAATAATGTCAATTAAATCTCACCAGCAATAATACCATCTAATTATTATTAAGAATTCATTTCCAGACATTTTCACTGCCATTATGCCTTAGCTGTTTTAAGCTGCAGTAAGAGATAATGTTTAAATAGATAGCTAGCCTTGAAGCCATTCATTTAGTAGCTTAAGAAGGTCAGACTATCACCTCTTGCTTCGATTTGTAACTGTGAAATGCCTGGAACTACCGTATTTTGAATGGAATCATTTAAGCATGACCCTCTTTTATTTTTTAAAATCTGTTATTAAAGTCACGTGCTGCCTCCCAGTGGGGTTATTTCAGAGAGCACAGAGAAAAAGAAGGCTTCAGGGTATAAATTTGTACATTTGTTCTTTTCTTTTTGCTTCATTCTTTCAACAGCTATTTATTGCCCACCATGTGGCAGGCAAAGTGGGAAGTACAGGGAATACAAAGGAAAATAAGACTTCCTGTGCTGGAGACACAACATGTAGAAAACAAAATAAAATATGCATCAAAACTCACTTGGGGGCTTCCCTGGTGGCGCAGTGGTTGGGAGTCCACCTGCCGATGCGGGGGACACGGGTTCGTGCCCCGGTCCAGGAAGATCCCACGTGCCATGGAGCGGCTGGGCCCATGAGCCATGGCCACTGAGCCTGCGCGTCCGGAACCTGTGCTCCGCAATGGGAGAGGCCACAACAGTGAGAGGCCCGCGTACCGTAAAAAAACCCTCACTTGGGAACTTTCCACCTCAAAATGTCT